AATAATGATGATGATACATTTTATATTATATTACGTTTATGACAACACTAATGTTGATGATGATTATAATAATGATGATGATGATGATGATAATAATGATGATGATAATGCTGTTAATGATGATAATGATAATGATAGTGATGATGATGATGCTTAATAATGATGATGATACATTTTATATTATATTACGTTGGACAGATAAATGAAATCTATTATGATGATGATGAATGATATACCTACTACTTTATCCACTATTGCTTATGCATTTTTAAATCGTTTAACTAGGAGATTTTTTGGGGAAAATGTAATTGTTAGGGCTTCTTATAAGTTGGTGTTAAGCTTTATGTTTAGAAACAACAAGAGCATTACATTTTTAATGTGGCTTTAGAATAGCTTATTAATTTATTAAATTGTTCTAGTTCTCTTCACTTCACATTCACTTTTTAACCCCCACCCCACCTCTTCAGATAAAAGGCATTTAGAAGCCCACCCCTTGTTGAGCAATTAATTTTTGCGGCCCCCCCTAATTTTCCTCCAGCCCACCCCAAGGCATTATTAAACGCTCTCTTAGTCGAGGTCGGATCCTGGGTTGTAGCCCGGTTGCCATGGTTACCTCCTTGCTGGGGGATATACTCGCGTAACCGGATCCCGCACTGGTACCTAGCCCAAACTCATTAGTTAATTGATGAGTTTTAAATTTATAGTTTAGTCGCCGAAAGTCTCTCACGAAACGACCGACCCAAATATGCTGCCGGCTTCTGATTGGACGTAACGTTCCTCTCACGTGTGAAGAAAAGCCGTACGTGGACTCTGCTTGGATGTATCGTTTTTTATTGGTTTGTTTGCTTTCTTTTCTTTTCTTTTCATACGCGCATTGCGATTGGTTGGGAAAGGGGAACGAATGAAAGTATATTAAACAGTTTTTTTAGCGTAACTGTAATATAACCAAGCTGCTTGAATAGCACAGCGCACTGATTCTAAAAATAGCTTAAAGATTCGGACAAACATTGCATTCTGTTTAACCGCTACGAGGATTATACGAACCGATTTTATTATTTTTACTTAAAGTTACAATAATAACCCATGTAAACTAAGATCAACTGCTTATCTGCTGAAAGTAAACTTGTAAGTTTGTTTGTCCGAATTCCACCTTTGTCTTCGTTTTTATGACGTCACGGTTGCGCTGCGCTATTGAAGTGTTAGGCTCATTTTGAATAAACATTATGATCGCTTGGGTGACGAAAAGTCCACTATGTTTATAAACCAATGATTGGATGAAAATTGAACGAACGAACGAACGACAGTATATCAAACAGGTTTTTAGTAAGTAAAATATTTAGTGAGCATAACTATATTAACGAAAGTTTTTGAATTGAATTGTTCTTTCGAGTAAAGAAGCTAGCTTCAATATAGACTTGTTTTGATCGCTAGCGCAAAGAACCCCGGATACCTATCAACCAATGATTGGTTGAAAAAGTGAACGAACGAAATTATATCAAACAGGTTTTTAGTATGTAAAATATTTTGTAAACATAACTATAATAACGAAGCTGCTCGAATTAAGGTGTTTGATCAAACATTATGATCGCTTGGGCGACGACAAAAAACCCATATATATCAACCAATCATTGGTTGGTCGATAACGGGGGCTTTTTCGTCACCCTAGCGATCATAATGTTTAATCAAAACAAGCCATTGAAGCTTCTCAAGCAGCTTTGGTATTATACAGGGTTCGTACAGGTTCCCTTGAGAGAATTTCAAAACATTTTTCAAAACTTTTCAAAGCCCTTTGACTCAAATTTTTAAAACCACAAATAACGCAAAATAAAGCCAAATTCATGGATCTCAAACATAGATGAGATAGCTCGGCTGACCAAAATGCCATGCATGAGCAGTATAGGCGCTGTAGCAGGCATTTTAATGTTAAAACACGCGTACGCCACACCTACAGTGTTGACAAAAAAGATTTGGTGCTTTACAACAAAAAGCAAGTTATAAGCTAGAAAAGCTACAAAAAATTCCAAAACTTATCCATAGCATAGTGGACTAAAAATCTTTACCCAAGACTTTCATGTTTCTGGAAAATCCGTTATCAATTTCCAAAACTTTCCAAGACTTTCCAAAACCCAAAACCCGTACAAACCCTGAATTTGTAGTATAAAATATGTAACCAGGCTGGAAATATGGAAATCAATATACGTTATTTATCGGCCAGGAAGTCCGGATAGGGAAAAACTGTGCCCGAGGTCTTGATGGTTATACGGACCGAGTCCGTTACCGACTATGGACGATAAATAACTTATTAATTTTTTTCCCGTATTTTTTTTTTTCTTCTGGTTTTTGTAATCGTTTTGTTTTGTTGTTTAGCGGCAAAGGATATCGGACCGCGAGCACGGGCAGATACTGACAAAATACCGCCCGTTCAAACAGCCAATCAGAACGCACGATTTTTCAGGATACCGGACCGAAAAAAATGATAAACAATTAATATATACATACAGAGATCATTCACTAAAAACCTGTTTCTAATTATATTGCTCTTGTTACCTAATGACATATCACAAACTGTCAATTCGAATTCCTCATAACAAAACTTCCCGGCTATATTGAGCCCTCAATGTCCTTGATGTATAGTCACCTCTCTTGATCATGAAATCTTCATGGCTGCTATGTTGTTACTCTTTCCTTGCAATTTTGAATACTTCTAGAAATTTCATTGGTAAGTCAACTTTTGTAATATCTCTTTCTAAAAGTTTTATAAAAATGAGTTTCTTGATAGATTTTTAACATCCCAGAGATATATTTTTTGTTCGTTACTCGCGGATATTTCAACAATCGTGAATTTGGTGTGAAAGTTTCTAATATCATTGCTATACCAAGTTAAAAGGTTTAATGAAATAGGATCAGAGCAGGATAGTAATTTTTTGAGAAACAAATGCTCCATTTTGAACAGCTTCTTGTAACTATGGGCCTTATTACATAAAGTATGCTATTAAAACGGTAGATATAGAAATATACCAATGTAAAGGATTTTTATTTGACCTAGTTTCTCGTTAATTTGTTGTTGTTTTTTAAATAGTTTTGGAAACTCTTTACGAAAATAAATAATAAAAGACTCCTTCAGTTGAAGAAGGCCGCTGTCGTTATCAGCCGACAAGATTTTTTATAATCTGTAATAAGTTTATTGACGAGAACATCTGCATGTTTACTCATGTTGCAGTCATTGCGGCAGATGGATGCAAGGAAATGGATTTCAAAGTAACATTACAAGGAAAGACGTTAGCAAACCACGTCTTCAAAACAGTACGAGCCACGAACGATGCGCACTGCGAATCCCAGTGTTTCTTGGATGATCGCTGTATATCTTACGGCTTTGGCACAAGTGCGAGTGGAGAGAACTACAGGTGTGAGCTGAGTGACTCGGATCACTTTATGCACCCTGATGATATAGTGGACAGACCTGGTGTCATCTACAGAAGCGCTCAAGTAAGTACTGTAAAAGAGATTTTATTTTTATTTAAACTGGTTTGAGATTTAAAAACAGATCAAAATATTCGGTCCAAAAACTCAGCCGGATGAGCGATACTAGTAAATTATATCAGAACCTATTGGGTACTATCTCTGAATTGTTTTCCAAATCCTTGTGTTTTCGCGGTCAAAATCATTATTCTTTTCATTTGCGTGTCTTGGGGATCAGTCTGGACGACAGGTGGTTTTGACAAATTGACAAATCTCTCGGTCTGCCCATAACACATAAAGTCATAACGTTGGCACTTGACTTCAGTCTATGAACCACTCCTGTTTGTTAAGATCCTTCTAAATTTTTGGACGTGAAAAGGCTCATTTGATTCCATACATCGACTTGTGGGAGATCTTTATAAGTGAGATGATAGGACTTTGCTAATTGTTTTCTGAAATTCAATTAACTTACGGTTACAAAAGCATGACTATTTTTACAACACTTATAAAAATTAGCAGAGTTCTACGACCCCATGCTATCCCTAAAAAAACAGTTCAAGTTTGAGATCTAGAGAATTCCATATTTGGTACGGCAAGTTTAAGTTTTGATCACGCAATTGAAAACGTTTTTTTTTTTTTTTTTGTCCGTTTTCGGACCCAAAACATTTGCGTTTTTTATACAAATTACTTCAATGCAGTAAAATAAAAGAGAAAGCTAATTAATTATGATCCATCCTGGCTGCAACTTTCATAGGTTTAGTATTTTTGTTTTACCCTTTAGTAACAATTTATTAATACCATTTAGTGTATGTTACTGAGAAGAGGAAAATCTTATTACTGTAGAACACTTGTACATGCAAAGGGAAGCAATACTGCAAATATGACTTCATCACGAACACAGGGCTTTGTTTATGCTATCCAGGATTCACTGGGACAAACTGTGACATTAGTAAGTATGTTTTAAGATTAAAAGTGGCAATGGCAAATCATTCAAAGGATCTAGTCAGAATGAAGTCATGTGAAGTGAAGAAATAGATATGCATACCTAAACTGACAAATTGAAAATCAAGTGATTAAATTGTCCTAAATATCTTTTAGATATCAATGAGTGCTCAAGCATTCCCTGTCAAAATAGTGGATCTTGTGTAGACAAGGTGAATGGCTATGAATGTAAATGCCTTGCTGGGACGTCTGGAGTGAACTGCGAAACAAGTAAGATTTTTACAATAGAACTAACAGATTTTTTTAACGCTATTTTTGAATGAACTATTTATACATCTCTTCCAGGCAAAGTTTTTTTAGTACTCAAATGTGGCATATTTTGGCTATATTTACTATACTTAGTAGTAAGGCCCATTCGGATTTTTCATATATTCACTATAAAGTTTGTCAAAACCAGCGAAGTTTCTTAGAAGTATCAAGAATCCTTAAGTCGTCATGGAAAAATTACCATGCGCGTCATAATCACACATGGAATAATTAATCTCGACAAACACACATGTGACGTAATTGATTTCAAATCGAAACATCCAATCCTCTCTCTCTTCAATCACCGCCATTTTGGCCTCCTGCCGTCCACATTCAACCGTTGTTAGAAAAGAAGACTAACAGAGTGATGATTGAATCGACTTCAAGATGTCAGCTTGTCGTCATGGCTTTTAAAATGCTGACGTCACAGCCAACCAAGTGCGCATGCTCACTGGTTAGGCGGTTGCGTCTATCACCGCCATTATGACCTCCCCCCGTCCACATTCAAACGTCGTTAGAAACAGAGACTTCCAGAGCTTTTGATTGAAGCGACGTCAAGATGTCAGCTTATCGTAATGGCTTCCGGCTAGTTAGGCGGTTGTGCGTTATCGAATCTTTGCAGAGTTAACAATAGGCCACGTTCTAAATATTAAGATTCTAGTACGATACCGAGGCTCTCCGGAATAAAATGTTCAAATTTTCATTAAATCTCAAAAGAATCAGTAGACATAGTGCTGCATGTAGATTGGATTATAACGTTGCTGAGCAGTGAACTGACTAGCATTTCTACGACTTTTTTCTTTTATTCCCGGAAAATAGGAACTTCGTATTTGGTACGTTATTTATAAGTATTCCTATCAATATATGTTTTTTTGGTGATCCACGTTTTTTTACCATATATAAAACCATAGACTAAAGTCTCACAATAAAGTCTGAAATTCTCGATTCATAATTAATAAACCGAAAACCCCTCGGGAGACAAGAGAGACTGCCTTGGGGAAGTCTAGAACGTGGTACGTTGAAATAGGCTTTAAAAACGTGAGTGTCATACCATATAACCGTCAAAGAGTTAACTAACAAAATTGTACAAATTATTAGTGCAAAGTTTTGTAGGTTTACGGTCTAATGAGGTTTACTGAACTTACTATTGGTGCATGCAAATGTGTGGAATTTCTTACGAAGTTTTTCACGGATATATGGTACGTATGCATTCTAATATATTCTTAATACTAAACCTCTTTTTTTCTATTTTAGACTTCGATGATTGCAGCCCTAATCCATGCCGGAACCTCGGCTCATGTTCCGACAAAATCAATGATTTTGAGTGCTCCTGCATTCTAGGGTTTGGAGGAAAAACATGTAATCTCGGTGAGCCACATAAAGGAGTTAAAAATGTTGGTGATATTATTTATGGCCTATGGCCTATATTAAAATGAAAACAACAAAATGTTAGACCTACATGAATCAATCGAGAACTACAAAGATAACTGATAGCCTCTGTCTATTAGTATGGGTAATCGCAAGGACTAAGAGCAAAGAAAAATACAAGGAATTAATTTCAATTTTTACCAGGAATTTAAGGAAAAGGGAGTGGCTCACTAAAGAAATATTGAGAGAGTTGAGCAAAAGTGGGGCGGCTAGCCATCCTCTTCACCACCACTGGATCCGCCCCTAAGAATATATGCTCTCAAAAGGGAAAATATGAAAAATCGTGCGGATTCTATTGCTTACATACTCAATTTTTAAGAAACTTTGTTTGGGTGTGGCCTATAGTCCCACTGTAACACCTACAACTTCAACTATCAAAAAAAAATTATGATTCTTTTTCATTCATTAATGAATTAATCCAATTATTCAACGATAGACCCCTTGCRCTGATTCCCAATCTGAGATAAAAAGAAAATAATATCCTTCTTTTGGGGTTTGAAATCATTTTTTAATGTAATTTAAAAAAAAATTGTTTTGAACCCCAGTAGGGCCGGAATTAGTGCGGGAGGGTTATAAGATTAAATACAGGGGGAAAATCTTTATGGACCTTAATCTCTATCTCACGGAGCAGCCAGGTTTATTCTTATCAGTGAAATCACCTTGAAGCATTTGAGTGCGATGCTACACTAGGGGGAAAACTTATACTGGTCCAACATGGCCGACACTTGAGAGAGGTTGATGTTAAGGTCGTATTTTATTGAAAGTTGAAAAAAATGATGCCTAGTCAAAATAGCAGTGTTTCAAAGTGTCTCTTTTTGATATGTTTTAAATGATTTTTAATTGCAGATATTAGATACTGCGAGAATAACCCAAACCCTTGCCGTGATGGAGCAAGCTGTATTAGTATGTTACTTTATTTTAAGTGCCAATGTCCGAATGGATTAACTTATGAATACGACGATCAACAATGTGAGTAATGGCACAAAAGTAAATAGTAGAGTACTTGCACTAAAGCCGTGAAACAAATACTATGTACTTATTGACTGAGTTAGGTCGGGCGGTAAGGGAAAATATTTGGCTCGAGGTGATGCCATACGGACGGAGCGCAGCGAGGTCCGTACAAATGACCGAGAGCCAAATATTTTCCCTTACCGCCCGACCTAACTCAGTCAATAAGCATTTTATCATATGACCCTCACGAAAAGAAAAATAATAAAATAAAAGAAAGAAAATACGGTCGCAGGTTTCCAGCAGGGCCGTACGGCCCTGCTCACGCTATTTTCCCGAAGGTTTTTCTAAGAGCGCGCGCCCGAGCAGATACGGGTCATATGATAATAATTTTAGTACTAAATAGTAATAATCAAACAATAGGAAACAAAGGATTCTGTATGAATTACTACTAATTAGTACTAAATATTATTCACGGGTTTAGTGCGTGCACTCTAACCTGAMGCAGATGAAGCTAATAATAACTGGCATCAACGTCGTGCAACATGTCACGCAACAATGTTGCGTCATTTACAAATTTCAGAGGAATTAGTGGTTCCGACTCCTCTTAGTTACCGTTGCTATGTCCCACGAGCTCAACCAATCAGCTAGAATAGCTTAGAATTTAAAACTGGTCGCGGAAAATTGATTACTCTTTAAAAATGATTCTGGGGAAACCTTTTAATTCTATTGGGAAAACTGCTGCAACGGTGATGGGTTTGCTATATTGAGTCGGAACGATGAATCGTCATTCTTTCATAGCCTGCGTAGAGGCGCTTTTGGAGGCTGGGGGTGGGGGTGGGGGTGGGGAGGAGAAACGTGAGGGGGACTAGGGAGGACTTTTCCCTCCCTTCTCCCCAATTTCCCCAAAAAAGCTCCGCTACGCAGGCTAGCGTTTTATTATTCCGTGTGCAAGTTGATTTTCTTTGCCACAAAAGGTAGTATAAAATTTTTACTTCGTGAAATAAACAAAATTTGTTGCGTGCAGAGTTATAATAAAATGAACAGCATTTGCATAAGCATATACTCTTATATTTATACCTATATAATACCCGTGAAATAAAAAATACTAGTCAACGTGTAATAGTCAAATAAACACAAAAGGAAACAATGGAATTAGGGTCTACCAAAAGTTGTATTAGTCTAATATCTATTTAACGGGTTTAGTGACTGCACTCTAGTTTGAAAATATTTATGTGGCTTCAACTTTTCGCTGCACGTGTAATTCTAGTTTCTTTTATTCTAATTATTTGTCAATAAACTCRATTGAAAAATCATAAATCAATGTCGGGTTCAAAAACATAGAAGCTGAGACTGAAGTGAGGCATGGAAAGTACGGTAATACACCACTTCACTGTATCTTCCACTGATCCGATATCCTGTCCTTGAAAGAGGAGCGCCAAGCCATGCAGGCCGTGCACTATAAGCAGTAAGCGTCAAGGATGACTGTATCTTCCACTGATCCGATGTTCTGTCCTTGAAAGAGGAGCATGAAGCCATGCAGGCCGTGTACTATAAACAGTGAACGGCAAGGGTGGCTGCATCTTCCCGCACTGATTCGATGTCCTGTCCTTGAAAGAGGAGCGCCAAGCCATGCAGGCTATTTTTTATTTATTTTTTGACATGACATGACATGGCTATTCATTTTCTTTTTCGCACACAGCTTGCTTGAAATCTTTCTTGCTTTCTTCGGTGTATGTTTTTCCTTTTCTTTCTTTTTCCTTTTTTTATATATATTTTATTATCATTATTACTATTATGATTTTGTATTTATATTATTTTTATCTTCTTCTTTTTCCTCTTTTTCTTGTTCTTCTTGTTCTTGTTCTTSTTGTTCTTGTTGTTCTTGTTCTCGTTCTCGTTCTCGTTCTCGTTCTTCTTCTTCTTCTTCTTCTTCTTCTTCTTCTTTTCTTCTCCTTGTTTCTCCTTTCTTTCTAGCTCGCGCTACCCTTCGCTCAACCTTTATTTTTCTTTAGTCTCACTTCTGTTTGCTTTCGTTTGTAACGGAACAGTATTTCAGTAGTTCTCTAAAACATGTCAAAGAATCGAGTTCATAGCATTCATAATATATGATGTTATTCATATGCTTGCTATTGTTGCACACATTACTATACTTACTTTTGGTAGAATATTTGGTCTAGACAGCTTAGTGACAGGTGTTTTCTTTACCCAAGGCCTACCATTGGTCCATTGGCAAAATTTATAAATAATAATTTGAATATCGTTCGACCGAGAAATCCTAGTCTAACTCTGTCGAATTTCATTCAACAGCTATAGAGTTAGCCTGGGTTTCTGTCAAACTTCATTGGAACCGGTTTAGTCAATAATCTGGCGTCGTTGAATAGCTCTAAAAATGGCGTAGTTGAATTTCGGGGAAGGTACGGGGCATATGCAAAATGTAAAGAAACGATTGGGATTTCACAACGAAATCGCGAGCAGAATGTGTGATGCCAGCACGAAGGTAAAAACAAACGGTACGAGGCTTAGGAGATTGCTATTAGATGGAGGATCGCAAGTGTTAAGAAAACTGTTCGACGGCATCCATTCTAGCAGTGCTTTACCTAGCGTCCTGAAAACCAACGAAGAAGATCTCAAGAAGAAATGCAAATTTCCTAGTCAAATCGAATTATTGTTTCCTATTGATGGACAACCAGACTCTAAAAAATTTGATATCACTCTACTGACATTACTTTTGAGAAACATTTGTAGTCTAACAGCTCCTCCTACAGGATGGGGAAAGGAGCCATCTCCTTCAGACCAGAGCAAGGAAGCTAACATTGTAAGAATCAAGTTATTTAGAAACAAGATTCAACATCTTCCAGGAAGTGGAATCAGTGACGAACAGTTTGAAGAATTGTGGAACGATCTATCTTCACCTTTGATGGCTTTGGGTCTTCCAGAAGACGAAATAGAGAAACTCAAAGTTACCCCGATCGATGACAGTTCTGAAATCCAAGAACGGTTTAAAACACTGTGCGATCACGAGCACAGGATAGAGAGCCTAGAGGAGAAAATAAACGAGTATGGAGCCCAAATCTCTACCAACCATGCCCAAATTGAGGAGATAAAAGAGGAGCTTCAAATTCGAAAGAAACAGGAGACAGTTAAGAGTTGCATTCCCGACAAACCCTTAAATTTTATCGCCCGAGAAAAAGAGCTGAAAGAAATTATAGATGCAAAAACTATCGATGACATACCTTATGTGTTAATCCACGGTATGGCTGGAATCGGTAAGTCGACCCTCATCAAGAAAGCTTCGTGGCATCTTGTTTATGAACATAACAAAACTGTCTACTTTGTTGATTTGTGCCGCTGTAAAGCAACTGAAGAAGAGATATCAAAGACCATAAATTACACCTTATACCGGGGTACAAAAGTCGAAAACGAACCCCGAGAAGCACTTAATATCTGGGCAAGAAACCTGGACCGAAAAGTGATTCTTGTGTTGGATAATGCTGAACATGTTTTGRGCAGCAGTGAKCCACGAACGGGAAMTGATGCCAACTGTGAAWCTGGTATGTCATGCCTCGTAAAGATTCTGCTAGAATTAAGAAAATTTTCTTCTCTAAATGTAAATTATTTGATTGCCTCGCGCGAAATCTTGAATTTTGACGCCATTGACGTGCCTAGGAAAGATATAACTCTCAAACCGTTTGAACAAAATGAAAGTTTAGAATTCATAAACCGTGTTCTCTCAGAAGAAACAACAGACAGCTCTGAATTAACTAACGACCGTAAACAAGAGATTGTCAAGTTATGTTTCAATATACCGCTTGCTTTACGCATTGTCATCCCTTTGTTGGACGATTACAAACCTGACGAATTAATCAAGAAGTTAAAATCAAAGCCAGTGGAAAATATAAAAAAATTGAAAGAAGCCGTTTCCTTATCGTTTGAAAAACTCGATGACACGTTGCGTGGTCATTTAGTAAGGCTTACGATTTTTCCAAGGTTTTTTGCTGTTGATTCCGCGATGGCAGTTATGGGAGTGGATGATGCAGTTCAGGTGCTTATGAAACTGTATGCAAAAAGTCTTTTGCAACGCGAAAAAAGAAAATATAGTCTTCATCCGTTTATTCACGAGTTTGTTGTTGATTATGGCAATGCGGAAAAAAACAAATATCTTCTTGAAGAAGGAAAATTGAATTTTCTAAGTTATTTTCAGTCTTTACTTTTAGAAAATACAAAGTTGTACTGGACTAAAGATTCTTGTAAGCAATCTTTGAGTGCTTTCCGTGAAGACAGGCAAAATTTCGAGAAAGCTTTGGAACTTTCGCTTYGTGTTCCTGTGGATCTGAATGAAACAAGAATGGAAAACACTAAGAGAATACTAGATGAACTGACTAACGTTATTTTGTACCTTGTGGCCTGCACCTCTTGGGATCTGCTAGGAAGGTTGCTGGATAACTTCATTACCTTAGCCAAGAAGAACGACTTGCCTAGTCGAGAATTAGAATCACTATGTTGGAAGGGCCATATGGCTCGAAGAAAAGGTGACAACGAAGAATATGAGAAGTTACTGAAACAGGCTGACAAAGTATACCAGAGTGGCTTACAAATTGATGACAGAGCTAAAATATGCTACAATTCTGCCAAAGGACGTTACTTTGTTTACAAACGAAATTATGAACAGGGAGTCAAGGCTTTTGAAGAAATCATCGAGTTTTGTATGGAAAAGGAAGACAACGATTCCAGGCTGAATGAAGATTATACAAGAGCTAACTTGGAGCTAGGACACAGCTTGAAGGGCAAGAAAGATTTCAAAAAAGCAGTGGAAAAGTATAAGCAGGCGAATGCCATTTATGAGAAACATTTAGGACTACACATAAAGACAGCTATTAGTTTTAAAGACATTGCAGATGGATATTTGACTCAAGGTGATGCTCAATTGCGAGATGGTGATAATGAGCAGCAAGCACTAGACTACTATAAGAAGGCAAATGATATTTATAATAAGGCAATTGATATGTTGACCGACTTGAATAGTGATTCAGAAACCCATATGATTTTGCTTTTGAAAAACAAAGGCATTTGCTGTAGGAAATTGGAAAAATATGAAGACAGCGAAACACACTTCATGAAGGCAATAACCATTGCAGAAAACAATCTTAAAGAAAATCATAGGTACAAGTGTTTGGTGAAGGAGGGGTTAGCTCATCTACATGATGAAATGGGGAACAAAGAAAAAGCTAGAACATTTGCTGAAGAGGCCAATGAAATGGCAAAGAACTTAAAGTCTGGTGATTGTATTAAAGATAGAGAAAGACTAGAAACAATTCTCAGCTATAACTCAACCAGTTGAATCTGAAATACATGCTATTAATTTAGAGGCGAGTGCATTTAAAAATCCATGCACCCAACCGTAGGTCTAAATCGATGAACACTATTAACATAAATTTGTGCATGATATCTTGAAACATTTTAGGTATAATTCGTTGTAATCCCTTTTCGGCGACAGACCGTTTTGCCAACAATAGCACTTATATCTTGTGGC